GTCCGGGCCCCGCCGCCGCCGAGCGCGATGAAGCTGTGGCTGCTGCTCGGGCTGCTGCTGGCGCGCGCCGCGCTGGAGATCGGTGAGTGACTCGCGGGCGCCCTCCGCCCCACCCGGCCCGCGCACCTGCCGGCTCGCGCGTCCCCGCCGGGCCTCCGGGGTGGCCACCCCCTTCACCCGGGAGCCGATCCGAGCCACCCGGCCCCGGACAGCCTTCGGCGGGCGCCCCCGGCCGCGAAGGTCCAGCCCATGTCCACGTGTCGGTCGGGGCAGGGGGTGGGGGAGGGCGCTGCCACCTCGGCTCCGCGGCGCCCGGCACCGTGCAGCTGAGGCCGGTGCCACCTCGGCGCGACGCCGGCAGGGTGCCCCCACCCCATCCGCGATCCTGGGTCTGTTGGTATGCCGCCTTGGTCTTAAATCCTCAAGGTCCGCCTAAGGTCCTTCACATTGTGTGTTTATCCGCAAAAGAAATCAGAACTGCACAACTATTACATTTCTTTCATTTTCCATCTTATTGAATGGAAAACGAGGAAGAAAATGCATTTGGGGGCCACATATGGGGGCTGTGTATTACTGTCCCCCTTTTTTCCACTGGGAATTGCACCCAAGTGCTTAACACCTCTAGCCTCTTGGAAATTCTTTTTCTTTAATGTTGAGAAAACTTTTATTCTTAAATTTTGAGACAGGATCTCACCAAGTTGCTACTGGTTCAGATTTGACATCTTCTGGCCTCAGCCTCCCAGAGTTCTGGGATTACAGGTTTATTCCACCACACCCAGCTGACCGCACCTTTTAAATTGTGTGCCCGTCCCAGGTCCATCTTGTGTAGACTCATTACCGCAGATACTTTTTAATGTGTTTTTGTATGTATGCATTGTGTATTATTGTTATATACATATACACACATACGTGTGTCTTCCTGTTGTTTAATGGAGTAGGGGCTTTTTGCTCCATTCTTTATTTAATTGGTGTCATCGCACAGAACATCTTTCATCTGGATACATTCTCAAATCTTCAACTCTCCCTTGAAATTTGTTGGCTACAAATACAGATTCACTTAGATTTGCCTGAAAAGCAGCTTTTGTTGTTATTTAACCTTCTGCTGGGGCCAGCTCATCCCGGCTCCCATTCTTTCCACTTCCCATCCTGACCAGTTCCTGCCTTTCCTATGAAACTACAATCTTTTGCCAAAAAGTACAACATTCTAGTTTGGGAATTCCAGGGTAGTTGTGGACCATGAAGTTGAAGCTGAGGATCCTAAGCCTCCGTCACACTTTAACAATGTATACCAAGCGCCTCTGCTCAGGGGAAAGCTGGCCTGCATTCCGTTGGTAAAACACAGTATTTCAATACTCCTGGCAGGTCTTCGTATGTTACTGCTGGAATGGTGGAAATGCAGTATTTGGTATCATTTTATAGATAAGGCAAGAGATGCCAGACAAAATAATTTCAAAATAGTCCATTCAGTTAGTTTATGTCCAAGATGCCAGCCTCAGAGTTCAAGTAATGGCTTCAGCCAACATGTATCGACATTGTGTGAAATAGTACCAACATCTGCCTAAAGAAATTAGCATCTGTTTAAATAAAATAGAATTCATACAGTAAACATGAGACAGAAAAAGTTAAATACAGACAGAATCTTTATAAGAATTGATGGGTAAATTTTAGGTATGATAATAGTATCAGGATTTTTTTTAGAGTATATTTAGATGATGATACACTATGGATAAAATGTTGAACACATACTTGAAAAATCAAATTTGCTCCATTAAGTTATATAACAGTTGTCCTAACCCTGTCAAGAATGCTTTTCCTAAATTGTGGGGCAGCCTGGGACCAGGAGCAACCAATGAGAGGGAACTACACAGAAAGCCCTTTCTTTCAGTGTCTCTGGCAGTTTAGGATATGCTGCCTGCTGAGCTGTTCAGAGCTCAAGCTGCAGACAGGAGGCCATGACTCAACTTGTCCCACTGCCTTTCCATTTCTGTGGCCACATCTGGGGGAGAGCTTTCTAAGAGGAAAAGCCTTCCTTGCAAGTGCATATGGGGGTGGGCATCTGTCCTAACCCAGCAAAGTTTGCTTTGACCTATTCTAAAATTATTACAATATTATTTTTCTGCATGAAGAGGTAGAGCTAGAGGGTATGTATCACACCTATCGCATGAAAATGTTAATGAATTGCCTAAAATTCCAGTTAGAGTAAGACATTGCTCACAGTACCTGATGTTCTCCTTTACCATAGATTAGGTGTACATTGATATAGTATTAATTGCCATTTTCACATTATACTATAAAACCATCCAGGTGTGGCAGCACATGTGTCTGTAATTTCAGCACATAGGAGGTGAAGCTGGATTGTCTTGAGTTCAGGGTCAACCTGGATTACATAGAAAGACCGTGGCTTGAAATAAAAAATTAAAAAGGCACCATCATGGGCATTTACAAACTTCTGGCTTGTAAAAATTTATATGTAAACCGTGTGGTGACACATACCTGTAATTCCAGCACTTGAAAGGCTGAGGCAGAAGGATCTTTGTGAGTCTGAGACCAGCCTGGGCTGCAAGCTGAGCTCAAGGCCAGCTTGAACTGCAGAGAGATCCTGTCTCAGAAAGATAAGACAAAAAATTACATGTAATGTCAGGAGAAGCTTCAGATTTGGGAGCATTCTGGATTCAGGATTTTCAGATTAAAGATGTTCAACCTGTAAAATGAACCAGGTACTTGAAACAACAGAAGTTTGTTCCCCCACACTTTTGTAGTCCAAAATCTAAAATGCAAGTGTCTGCAGGGCCTGGCTGGTTCTGAGATTCTGATAGAATTCTGCCCTAAGGTGCTTGCTTGCGCCCAACAATCCCCAGTGCCCCTGGGCTTGAGGCTACCTCACTCCATCCTCTGTTTCTGTGGTCACTTGGACATCGTCTGTCTGTGTTTCTGTCTTTGTGTGGTATCCTCTTCTTTTTATAAAAACATCAGTCATTTGTATCAGAGCCCATTCTGGTGATGTCACCTGAACTTGACTGTCTGTGCAGTAAAGACACTGCTCCTGGTCCCATTCACAAGAACCAGGGTTGGCATTTCAACTTGTCTCTTTGAGAGACTCAGATTGATTTTAATCAATGATCCTGAGAGTGACTTTGAAGGGAGTGAATGTGTGGCTTGGATGGAGAGCTGGAGACTGCCTGAGGTGAGAGGGCAACCCCTGAGGATGTCAGAGAAGCCCTGAGCAGGCCAGGGGCATGAAGGACAGCTCCTGGGTGGGCTTACTACAGTGCTCAGGGCAGTGGAAGGGTGGTTAGTGGTGAGCCAAAAGGTGGCAGAGCCTTATAGGGAACTGGGAGACTTAGTGCTTTTGTCTCAGATGAAGGGTCCTGAATTAGATGAAGGGTCTCACTTATGTTTTTGAAGTTTAGAGTGCTAGGGTGGAAGCCAGGCACCTACTTACAAGATAATTTAATATGGGTTAATAGTCTGGATAAAGAGTAGCCTGGTCCACAGTGGTGGCAGTGGATGGAAGGGGAAATGTGTGGACCTATTTGGAGTCTATTTTGAAGTTGGAATCAAAAAGATTTGCTGCTGAATAGGAGAAGGTTTAGGAGAAAAAGCAAAGGATTGGGTGAAGCCTGATTTGTTGCCTGAGCAACTAGGTGAGTAGAACTGTGGTTACAGCTAGAGGGAGGGAGCCCTGGGGAAGGAACAGGGCTGAAGGGGCATCGGAGGTCAGTTTCAGACACGTTAAATTTGAGATGCCTGCTGGCTCTGCATTGGCAATGCTGAGTAAGCAATGGAATATTCAGACCTGGAGATCAGAGGCAAAGTTAAGGCGAAGCAAGGCCTGCTTTCAGCTTGCAAATGCTGCCAGAGCCACACGGGGCAGCAAGAGATACCACAGGGAGGGAGGGAGTCAGAAGTGGCCAAGACTAAGCTAGGACTCAGGTCCAGCAGGAAAGAAAGAGCTGATGAAAAAGAGACTGCAGAGCTGTCCGGGGCCCAAGACTCTATGATGCCCTGGGAGCCAAAAGATTGTTAGCATGAATCTTCAGCTGTGTTCTAGATGTTCTGGGAAATGCTTCAAATTCTATCCCAGGATAGGAGCTGTTTCTCTGGTATTTTATGAAAATGATACTTTGAGAAGTGGTAATGTTTTTCTTTTCTTGAATGGGGTTTTCAAAGAAAGTAGGGAATAGAAACGGCCAGATCTTTCTACTTTTTAATCTTCCTAAGTCACTTTCCAACATTTTCAGCATTACTTTTGGAAAAATGTGTGTGTTCCCAGGAGGCTTTTGTGAAAGAATAGAAAAACCAAAAGTGGATGTCACTGGATCTGTACTGAAGGAAACACCTAACTATTCAAGTTTCTAGTGTGCTCCCTTCCATGCTCCCCTCAGGGGTAGCCTTTCCCTTAACTGCCCTTCAGGAAGGAGAAAACAAACAGCTATAGCTGTCTGATGTAAATGATTATGTTTAACATAGAAATCCTCTCTAAACAGCAAAGAGTCTTCTAATGACTTAGTTTTCTCCTCCAACCCAGTGCTGTGGAATTAGAGAGGTTAATGGCCATAAATGAATAAACTCTGATTGAATTCCTCTATTGCATCTGAATGATAACTGTTTTCCCTGTTGCCTCCTGCTTTGTCAGTGGCAGCTTGGACCAACCTCTCCTCATTTAGGGATGCTAATACATGCCTTGGAAAATCATCTCAGCCTTGTGCCACTACCCCCAGCATCAAGTTCTGTTTGGCTTGGAATGTGTTGTTAAGGACTGGGCTGTTGAACAAAGAATTCACTTAGACAATGGTGTTCTGCCTGAGATATGTGCAAATAAATTGAAGTTGCAATCATATTTTAATATTTAAGTGAATGAACAATGGCAGAGCCAGGGCAAGCTCTAGACTCAGAGTCACAAGATCTGACATTTTTTTATTACTTTCTTGGTAAACTGGAACGAACTACTTGGAATCTGTAAATGGAAAAATAACTACAATGCTTCACTTCTGCTGGCTTATCATGGAGATACAAGAAATAACCATGAAGCAAGTAGCACTTAAGTAGCATTTATGGTGGGTCAGATACTGTTCTCAGCACTGTAAACATATTAACTCATTCAATGTTCACAGCAATCCTTGAGGTAGTGTTATTACTTTTATCTCCAATTTAAGGATGAAGAATCTCAGACAAAGAGGGTGAGTAACTGCCAAGGGCCATACAGCTAGCAAGTGACCTGAAAAAAGTGATATTTCATAGTCTGAATTCTTCCACCTATTTCTCTATACAGTATACTTTGTGATTGTCTAAAAAAGGAGTTTTGATGGATTTTCAGTTTCACTGCTTCACAGTATACATTCTTATATTTCTAAGGCTTTGGAATAGAATTAATTTAGTTAGGCCAAATTATGTTCTTTTTAAAAGTTTAACAGAGTACTTGGCAGTCTATCTCTACTCCTTGGGTGTCTGTAGGACCTCGAGGCTTTGTTTGTGTGTAGGGGGAAAGTGAACCCAGAACCTTACCTAAATCTATACTGTACTACTAAGCTCCCTTCAGACTGATTTCTTTAACTTAATGACTTTACCATCAACCTTTGATCAGGTCTGTAGTCAGTCCACTCGAGCAATGACACAGTAAAATCCACTGGTTGGCTTTTTAGGTGAAAAGGCCAAATTACTTTCAGGTATAATAGCAAATATGTGAGCACATCCTGCCCATAACAGATAATCTAACATTCTTGTGTAGTATAGCCACATAAGATCTGATAGCTCAGAAGTCAGAATAGTAGCACTTGTTGTCTAAGTTTCATAGGACTTAAGGGGGTACTGTCATTTTGATCACTTGAATTCTGGCTATATGATAAAGAAAATGCTTCAAATTAGACATCAATTCTGACCTCAATCTAGAGGTCCATTAATCTCATAAACATGGTTGACTAAACTTTCTAAAGTTTCCTTTATTATTTTAATCCACAGCCTGAAAACTTTAACTGGAAGATTCACAGGGATCCCATAAGCACAGATGTATTTGCCATTCTGTGGGCAGATATCAAAATGCTTTTTGAGCTTTTGCAGACAGATGAACCAACTGAAACGTAGGGTCTACCCTCACCTTTCATCCTTGCTGGGTGGATACAGTTGTACAGCTGAGCCTTTTGGAACCCGGCAGCTTGCAGAAGGGCAGAGCAGTGGGAGCTGTCCTCCCTGGGTGCTGCAATGAGGAGTGTATTGTCTGTATCCAGGGCAGAAACAGTAAGAACGCCAACTTAAAGTAGGTCAGCTTTTTATTATCACCATTTGCCAGTTACTGTGAGCAGTGTCAGTGATAAAGTACTCCTCCTCCAAAACTGTTATGTTGGCTGAACTTTAAACCATTACTCGGGGTCAGTTGAGTTTTGATAATTTATACGTGAGCTTAAAATTAGCACATATTTAGGAATTTTTCCTTAATAAACCTCATATTCTACATAGACATTGTCAGTCCCTGAAAAACATAGATTCCACCCTGTACTTTCATGTTGAAGAGTTTATAATTGCTTAAAATCTTGGGAGTACACTTTGGATGCTATTCACATGCCTACTCTTGTGAGACTACATTATCTCTGCATTTAACTAATTGTGTGAACAGTGGAAAACAGGGATTGCTAAGGTCAAGAACAGACTGAGCAGCTTCAGTCCTCCCCTTCTGTGTAACTATGATTGTAAGGCAGAATGTGGACTACCAGGAATATTTTGTTTTGGAAGGGCAAATTTTAATTCATACACAATATTATTTCACTAGATTTGAATAATGTCTTTGAAACTGAAGCATGTGCATTTTAATTGTGTAAAAATTAAAGAATATATCTATAAAACAATGATTAATATGTGATTATTACTTGAAATAATTACAAAATAGAAAGTGGGTGGTATCAGTGCTGGGTTTCAGGTAAACTGGAAATGCCACAATTGTCGCCCACTGCTGTCCCCTTGCATTTGTACAGTTGCTGGCCAACACCCTCCCAAAAATAAGCATCCAAAGGAGCAAGGAGAGAATAGAATCAAACCTACCAACAAAAAGGTGAATCCCAAAGTTCCTAAAATAAAAGACAGGGATGCAGCTGATTCAACAACAAAGAGTCAATCTATCATGATGCAAGTGATGGACAAAGGTCGCTTCCAGAGACCTGCTGCTACCCTACGTCTGGTGGCTGGGCAGCCTCTAGAGCTTCGATGCAAAGGAAGTAAGATCGGATGGAGCTACCCCGCCTATCTTGAGTCTTTCAAGGACTCCCGCCTCAGGTGAGCATGTTTCTCTTTTCTGCTGGTATGGGTCAGATGTTTGCTTTGGTTCCCTCCTTCGACATTGCATTGTTTCTGACAACTACCATTTCACCCTAAAAGGTAATAAAAGTGGAAGCTTAAAGAACAAAAACCATCAGTATTATGTCTTTATGTGATTAAAAAAAGTTGTTGTGAATCCTACCAACAAGTGTTTGAAAGGATGAAATTTTATGACATCGTATGATGAGAATAAAATTCTACAGGAAACCACATTTTTATAGCAAATTGTAATGCACAGGATGCTTAAATTATTATTTAGTGAAAAATCAGTGCCAGGGAGATAGCTCAGTAGAATAAGCGCTTGCCTCACAAGCACAAGGGCCTGAGTTCAATCCCCAGTTCTGCCAAAAAAATAAAATAAAATAAAAAAATAAGAAAAAGAAAAATCATGTACTCAATGTTTTGTGCTAGTTTTTAAGGAATCATAATGAAAACTAAAATGCCCTCCCTAGTGGATCTCTACAAGAAAATTAGAGACCAACGTTAACTACTTCTTAACTTTTCATCTGCTTCTGATTATTTTTATTTTTATGAATAAAAGAAGGCCTTATTGGTAAGAAAACCAAAGATCGCTAATGTTTAAACAAGTACCTTGGTGGGTGTGGTAATACACTTTTGTAATCCTAACCCTGTGAGAGCCTGAGACTGCCTGGGCAACTTGGCAACCTAGCAATGCCTTGTCTTAAAATAAGAAATAAAGAATTGGCTGGAAATGTAGTTCAGAGCAAAGGCCCCAAGTTCAGTCCCCTGAAACACACACACACACACACACACACACACACACAGTTCCTTTTTGGGGCTGGTGATAAGAAAAAGTGGTTAAAATGATGATTATGAAAGCTGTAAAGCTAGACATGATGGTGCACGCCTGCAATCTCAGCACTTGGGAGGTTGAGTCAGGAGGATTGTTGCAAGCTTACTATGGAGACTCATTGGTGTTTCAGAGTACCTTTGGGAGAAATGGCAACAAGAATGAGGAAAAAATAGACAAGAGGCAAGAGCTGGGTCAGGTGGGGTGACCATCAGCCTGATTAGCAAAGGACCCCAATAATAATAGTAGGGGTATTTATTTATACCTTCGCAGAATTAGTAGTGGGAGACACAAGATTGCCTAATGACTTATAACTGAAACTGACCAGACAAGATGTTTTTCTCAAGACTGCTTTAGGCATACTGGCCTTGTCCTGCCCTCCCACATATGATCAATGTCCAGAGTCAGCCACTCCCAACATCTCTCCTTTTACTGTTTCGTTGTGTGAATGACAAGTGCTCCTTTGCAGTTGGAGAAGCTATGTTTGGAAAACTCTGTAGACCTTTCATTCTTGATGCTAGTACAAAGATATTGGGTACCTACCTGTACACAGCTATTTAACCCTATACAGTTCAGTAGTCCATGACAGTAGTGAGGTACCAGTACAGCTGACAATTATCAGGAATTGTTAGTGATTTGAACCTTTTATAGCTAGCATATTATTATGACTTTGCTTTTCACATCTTGTGGTTACATTTTTCTGTTGGATGTTTAAGACCAAGTTAAAAGCAAGACCTGTATTAATAAAAATTTAACCTTTTTCTATCTAACGAGGTCAGTTAAATCCTTTCAGGATTTACCTTGAAACCATGTTTAGCACCTCTTAGATCTTCTGTCAGTTTCAGCCATCTGGATGAGTTATGGTCGTTGCTTGATCAAGTTGCTTTTTATGAAAGATTGAGAGATTTTTTTCTCTGTAGACGATTCTTCTTAGGCACACTCTACATCACTGACCACTTTCCTCTGTGGTCCTATAATCTCTTTGATCAGAAAATCAGGAACTCAACTGAGTTATAGGATGTCACAGCAGAGGTTCTCTTATGTCCTGCGTCCTCATAGATCTCAGTGGGCTAGGGCCAAAATATTGGCCATCCTCTTAGCTCATCTAGCTCTCTAGTTTTTGTTCTCTAAACCTCAGTTGTTCAACATCCAGAAGAGAAGCTTCATGATATTACCCTATAATGTGGGAAGTAACCTTAAAATTACTGTCTATCTGAATTTCAAACCTTAGCCATAAAATGGAACCATTATTTTTTAATTACCATGGATATTACACAAAAATTTAGAAATCAAAATCATACATAACATTGCAGCATGGCAATCCTGTTGATATTTTGTGACATACTTACATTTTCTTTTCTTTTCTTTTTTTTGTGGAACCAGGGATTGAACTCAGGCCCTTGCACTCGTCAGGGAAGCGCTTATTCCACTGAGCCATCTCCCCAGCCCCCATACTTACATTTTCATTTTGACATAGCGGAACCCTTTTAGCCAGTCCTCTCTATCTAATATATAAGAAACTTTTACTTAATTTGTCATCCTTTAATGAGGTATATCTCACTGTTTTTTGGTTAAACACAGAGGTCTGAATCTGTGAGAAAGTCTTATCACAAAAAGCAATCTTTGTTTTACATTTGGGAAGATCTGTACATCTGGAATCGTGAATACATTTAATACACCATGAGATTATCAGCAGTGATTTATCATACACATACAAAAACCTTTGTTTCTTAATTTAGCTTTGCATCAAGAGCATCTTTTATGAGAAAACCTTATTGTTTTTTCTGTAAACTTTTCTAAAAAATTGGTCTTTTGCAATGACCTATTATTGGGGTGTTTCCTAAGAGACTATGGAGATTACTGGGGGCTCCTTACTAATGAATAAATGTTGACCACTCTTCTATTCACCATTTGGAGTTATGACCAATAATCTCTCCTCACTCTGAAGAAGTTTTGTTTAATTAGGTTAATTTTTTGATGACCTGTGAATAAACCAGTTTTGATATCACTTGGACCAGCTGATAACTCAGAAAAAGTGTACTTTTAAGTCTATATCCAAATTGTATTATGAACAAATGATGAAAAAGAGAGAAACTTGTAAGTGCAAATAAAAGAGGAACGGCTTTTCACAGAATGATACACAAACACGTAAACAAGGACCAGAAAACACAAACAAGCATGTTTACAAAATCAGAGTACACTCAAGTATATCCTTGACCAAACTGAACTATACTGACTCTATTACAATTTTTGAAATTTATAATTATAAATAGACTAGTCAGACTTTTTTATTCATCAATTAACAGGGCTCTCTTAACAGAAAAATTCAGAAAGAATAGAATCTTTTATCTAAAATTAATATACTTTAAAAATATTTTGTCTTAAGAAAATACTGGTAACTTTCAGATTAGTTTTCTTTCTATACTCTATTACCTATTCAGACCTTAGATTTTCATTTTGTCAGTTCCCTCAATAAGCCGCAGGTACAATATAGCCTTATCATTGTTAGCTTCTCCAGATTTGGCTTCTGATATAGCCTGACAGCACACTCTGGTACCCAAATAGTTCCCTCAGAATTCTCTGGAAAAACACAAGCATGCACTTTACCCCAGGTTAGTCTTTTTTGGCTTTATCTGCTTGAATTATCTTTCCATTCCTGTACTTCCATCTTTTGTAAAATTTAAAAATTTTAATAATGTATATTGACAAATAAAGTTGGAGGGATTAATTCACCCTTCTGATTTTTTTTTCACCCAATGCCTGCAGGGCAGGTTTGGCTGGCTTGAGTTGTGGGGATGAACCACAGCAACCTGAGCCTGACTGCTTTGTTGAAGCAGCCACTTGAAGAACTGAGCTAAGGGGCAGGCCCCCTCCCTTTTGATTTTGTAAGTGAATTTTGATTGTACAGTTAGAAACTTCTACCCTCTATTTTGGAAGAAGAAGCCATCACATAGCCTTCCTTATATGACCCATCTATAAAAGCAAGCAAATTCTTTTAACTTATCTGAAGGACAACAATTAATAACACCAGAGAAATTAGCCCAAAATCTGGATGAAGCCAATTAATATTACTAAATAAAGTCTGAAAATTATTTTGGGTTGATCTGAACAGTTTGGGGAACAGTTGTCTCTGATAGATGAGTTGACCCAAAATGAAGATGTTATCATAGCTTCTACCTCTTTGGAGGCCACTACCAGGCCTGCCATTATTTAAATGGGATGTCAAAATCAATCAATCAACTGTTTAAACCCCACTACTTTCAGATTGTACTCCAAGCCTTTACATTTGTTTTTAAAATATCAGAGCTTTTCTACAGCAATTTAATTTCAGACTGTAAAACAGGCCATCAACCTTATTAGAATCATGAGAATGTTAAGTAATCTTTTAAAATTTCCCTATTTTTGTTAGTCTTAGGAAATATAATCATTTTTAACTAAAGGCATACTTTTTTTTTTTTTTTGTATTTTAGGGAAGGGTCTACAGGGTGTTCAGGGTCTCACTACTAGAAAGTGATTCTCCTGTTTACAGCCTCCCAAGAGCTGGGACTGCCTGTGAGCCACCACACCCAGTCTCAGTTGCTGTCTCAGCACGCCCTAGAGGCCGGGCTGGCACTGTGCCTGCTTGCAGGAACATTGCTCTGTTGAGCTATTTGGCTGGCCCTAAAGGCAAACTTTTGTCTTGAGGGTGAACACAGTCTTTTAAATTAATCACCTTAAGTGAAAATATAAAAGCTTCTCTTATAGTGTCAATTGTAATGGAGAAAGAACTACTCTATTTTCTTTTCTCTTTCTTTCTTTCTTTCTTTCTTTCTTTCTT